CCAGTGCTGGTGTATTTCTTCTTCTTCTTCTTCTTCTTCTTCTTCTTCTTCTTCTTCTTCACCTTCTTCTTCTTCTTCTTCTTCTTCTTCTTCTTCTTCTTCTTCTTCGTCTTCTTCTTCTTCTTCTTCGTCTTCTTCTTCTTCTTCTTCTTCTTGGCTCAGTTATCTTCGCAAGTTCAGTCTTTTTATTTCGCAATTGGTGGCCATTGTACGTCATTGTTGATTTGCAATCGAAAGCTAGCCAGGGACGTAACATGTGTCTTAACGACAGTCTGGCACGGCAATGAACTTTACCAGAGTGACACACACTGCACGAACGCTGACAAAATTTGAAAAAATCCTTGATAAAGTGAAATTGACTTTGAAATCCCACTGAGCAGATGTACGCAGTGAGAACCACATCCTGCAGAATCAAACGACAGTACGGCAATTCGCAACTGTTACACAGTAAAACAAATAAAAAACAGACTGACGACGAACTAGGCCGGACGTATTGATGCAAGCACACTGGAAAGTGACTTGAACAGAATGGAAACAGACTGTAGGCTGAGTGGAGAAATCCGAGAAGAGGTCAACAGTGGAAGCGGTGGGACCGCAGATCCGACACCACAAAACAACCGCACACAGTCAAACAGACGTGCGGACTACGAACTGACAATGAACAGATTTAAACACCGAACACAGCAGAAGACAGACCAAAACAAATGGACGCAGTCGAGCATACGGAGTAAAGACTCCAGCACACTCGCACCTCACCGAAAACTGAATAAAACACAATCGGAACAGGTTCAACTTCATGGCAATATACACGAAAGGCAAGGACAGCGGAAGTAGACAGGACACCTCAACATGTACCAAAACAGAGTCTCACATACTCCATACACACGCACGCTGATCCAAACACTAGCGTGGCTAACTGAAGCTGGCTCCAAAACCACTGACAACAGAATGACACAGGCTCAAACAAACCTACAGACTGGAAACAGACTATGCACGGTCTCAGAGATCAGTACAACAAACTAAAAGCAGTCGAAGGCAAACTGAAAGTGACGCACGAAGCGGACGTCACTGGACACAGGGTCAACAGGACTGGAAACAGACCGTCAACTCACCTGCACGCACTCAGAGCAGGGTGGGAAAAGGAAACTTCACAGCCGCACTTACTTCAACGGTGCCCGTAGTGAAAGGAAGCGAACATATACTGAATCGTACTGACAGACACACACATGAGGCCCGCCCAGACTACAACTGTTACAGTACTGCAACAGACACCGACTGCGGGCACTGCCACAGTGGAAACCGGAAGCCGCGAACAGACAGGCGAACTGAAAATGGGCAGAGAATACTGGAAAAAAAAAAAAAAAGGATAACAAAATGAAATGGAATTAAGAGTAGCAAAAACAGAACAATAAGGAAAGTAAAGGCAGACACGAAACGACCACGAACAAACCTAAAACAGAGTCGAACGCGGATGGACGGGGTTGTAACAATCATGAGAGCGCTTGATAGACAGACTGGATTGGCTTAATGCGGTAAATCACCAACCCTTCGCCGGACCCTGCGTCAGTATTATGTCTGAACGTCCGGCCGGACCTGTGTATGGAATGTCCGAAACTGTCCAGAAAAAAATAAAACATAAAAACGGATAGGGAAAAAAAAAAGAAAAACACGTTTTTGTATTTCTCGTACGATGCAGCTATGAATCTTGAGGTGGACAGTTAGCCGAAATATCTGTTTTACAGTTTCATGGATTTTGTTTGCCGGTCGGATTTTTTCGTGCTGTGGAGGGGCGATGGATCCAGACACCATGGACTGGAGAAAGAGTTCAATTGGAAGAGTGGACGACGACATGGCAGCTCCTCCATCTCCCTATTCGTCATCCTTTTTCCTTCTTCCACCCCAGTCGTCGTCTTCCCCCTCCCCTTTTCCTTCTCGTCCCATCTTCTCCTCCCCCTCACTCGTCCTCCTCAAGGTGACCTCTTCCTCCCCCGACTCTTTGTGTATAAGAGACAGACCCTGCAGTATGCACGCAAATCGGTGTACCCGGCCTAAGGAGCACCTCGCAATGCCTCGACCGCTCTCGTCCTCGCTCGAAGG